ATCCTAACCCCATTTTATGAGGCCAAATGTGCAAAATATTTCAGTTTACATCAGCTTTATTTAAGTACTTGGAAAATATGTTTTAATCACTTGATATAGTAGACATGATTTTTTATAATCTTTCATCAAGAATATAATAAATTTTTGTAAAGTCCGATACAAAAAAAGTTTGGGTCCCGTGGACTGGCCAATTTTGGTCATCATCGAATTTTTCATTGTCTTTGGCCTTTAGAACAAGTGTACCAAATTTGAAACCTTTATATCAGAAACTGTGGCTGCTATCGCGATAATACAGAAATTTTTTTCATAAAGTTATGTTTTTTCATTATAATTCTCCAGATTCGTCCAGATATGCAATAAAAAATTTTAATTTTTTTCCCGAAATTGTACCTTTTATTTTCTCTCATTTATTGGTAACACATTCACCAAATTTGTTGACAATCTTAACTGCCAAATTTGGGAAGTCTCCCATTAGTATTTTTTGTTACCGCGGATACGCACATACACACACGCACATATCCACACACACGCACCGACAGACATCATTCGGAAAATAGTCAGAATGGATTTAGGATATATCAATCAAAATCTCGAGGTCGAAAAAAATCACGATTACTATACTTCCTTATATTAGGTATAGGAAAGTAAAAATTACTGAGGATTCTACACTGACCATTGAAAACAATAAGGGTAATAATAACAGACGTAGACATTATGCTGAAGAAATTATGTATAATTATATTACTTGTTTTCCCACAATGCCATAAGACGAGAGCTATTATAATTATATAATTGCGGTCTGCTAAACAACACAATTGTGACTGAGACGTCAAAGGAGACTAGAAAATTTTACATAGTAATAACAATAACACAATAGAGCTGTCACTTCTTGGAAATTGGACGTCTTGGTTTTTTAATAAATGCGTATTTTCATAATTTTGGCAATTATTTTAATTTCATCTCAAACCTGTAATTTATTCTGAATTATTACGAACGAGCAAACAGGTGTCTAATAAAAATATGCTTAGGTGGGCATAAATATGTATGTACTTTCTAACTATTTTTTGGGTTCAAAAATATTCACAACGCCGCAGGACTAATTCGCCTACTATAATTTTACCGTTTATATTTAATTTTGCTTTTTCTGTGTAATAAAATATTTCTATTATGTACAGGGTAATCATTTAGAACATGTAATTTCTAGAAACTATTTGGTGACCCTTATTTATACAGGTTAGGCCAATTATCTGATATTCTTTTATTACAGCTTTGACGAAATACTAAAAATTCATTTTGTACAAAATAGTTTTTAATTTTAAAAGGCCATAACCAAAAATTATTGTGAACTGTGCAGGTTGTTTCGTTTTCCCTGGACGTACAGCAACTTCTTTATTCTAAAAGTGACACTCAATTATTATATTTCTAGATTCCTTGTTAAATTCCCTATAAAATGATATCAGTTTGCTATGTCTAAAGTAAACCATTGTAAAGATATTAACTATTTATTAAAAAAAATTTACAGACACAAGCCCTTACTAAAATTATTACTCCTCAATCGGTAGATTAAATTAAATAAAACAGTTTCGAAGGTTTTTTATACCTAGTAGTAGTGGTAGTAGCTACCTATTTTACTAGGCAAGTAGGCCACAATGGGCCCTTTTTACCTAGGGACCTACATTTTAGCGTGGACTCCGAACCACGGTCTTCGACTGTCAACTAACCCACCGCCTGGGCCTGCCCGCCTGCACCGCTAACAGAGTGGCAAACCTCCTGGGTAGGTCTCTTCGACCCTCCACCCGGGCTCGCCTCTCCGCCTGCATCAGGCTAGCGGCCTTCCTGGGATTGTCTGTTGACAGCCTACCAACTGTTAGACGAGCTATCGTTCATCCATCCAATTGCCGGACTCGATCAGTGCTGCTTAACTTCACTGATCGAATATCGGAAATTAAACAGATGTCCATACCTCATCCCCTTTTTATACCTAAGAAAATGTACATAATTATCTACAAAGAAACTGAGTGTTCTAAAAAAAACAATTATTTTTGAGAATTTTGATTGATTATAGTTCGATTTTTTTTTAAACGGAACACTTTATATAAGTTTACACCAGCTTGCAGATAATTCTATAAGTTTTCATAATAAAGTTAATAGTTTTTGAGTTATTTTGAATTTAATATGTTTTAATACTTTTATATTCATATTCTCCCAAAGTGTGCTTACAATGGGATTATTAATATTTACTGTCGCTTTGTGTATACCATTTGAAGTTTATAAATTGAAACAACTGAGTATGATATCTGTCCTTACCACTCGACCACGAATTCACACGTATGAATGAACTTTCAATATTTATTAGCATCCCTGTGGAACACTTTACGTAATCTAATAACATAAATCTAATTTGGTCAAATCTGGTGGCTTAGGTAGCCAGATAACAAGAGTACACTTGATCATTTAGGGGAATTCCACCACTACGACCTATCCACTTGTCAGTAAAATTTTTCATTCTGGAATTCACCTGACGACTGTGGTGAGCAGAGCACCATCAGCTAGAACTATAGACATCTTCTTCCTAATGGAACATTATGTTTATCAGTTTTTCTTGTAAAATGAGGATTTTCATTTGAATATTGACAGTTGTGTCTATTTAGATTACTATTTATGAGGCAGGTTGCTTCATCCGTGAAAACATTATTTTTTAAAAGTTTTAATCTTCTGAATCATACATATAGCTCAATTAGAAATTCAGTCCGAATTCCAAAATCTCTTCCATTCAATTCTTGTTGGAGATTTATTTTATATGGATGACATTTATTTCTTTTCAAAATTCATCTTACTGAAGTTCAATTAGTAATATAATAGGCCCCATGCAAAAAATGTAATTTTGGCATTTTTGGAATCTTTACGTAATAGAAAAACAGTGTGTAAAAGATTTTTTTTACTATGGTGTTACTGAAAATCATCCGACACAAAATTGTCAATAATTTATTATCCCTTTTTGGGTGAGATTCCTTTTTGGCAAATGCTAATATTCCAATGATTTCCCATACGAACTGAGATATTTAGCATGTTATGTTGAAAATTAGGGTTGAAAGAATTTTAAAAAATTGAATATCTCATCTCCTATTGCATATAGGAGGCTACAACTTGTTTTATTCGTTTCGTCGGGAAAAATCCTGTGGGGTAGTGTGGTTCTAGAGGGAAAATCATCCTTTTATCTCTCATAGATTTAGTATTTTATCATTTTGACACGATTATGGTGTAGCATTTATGATTTAAGGATCGTCGAATTTTGCTCAATTTTTTTTCGATGCCACTTTTTGCGGTGCCTCATGTTTTTATATAATTGTGTGGGTAACCCTTGGAGCAAAAACCTAATCGATATTTTATTGGGCCTGAGAGATATTGAGGGATCCGTGAAAACACATTTAACCCTTTTTCATCCCCTTAGGAGTCGTAGCAATACCAACAGTGATGCACCCACCACTACGTATAACTTCCCCCCAGTTAAATCAGCAATAAACCACAAAAAGAGGCTGGCATTTTTATAATTTCGTACTACCCTCCCATGCCGATCCTGACTTTTACGTCAATGTCATCCAAGATACGGGCTCTAGATATAAGGATCGAAGAGAATGATCCCAACGAGAATCACAAATGCTTACTGGTTTTTACATAGAACTTGCGTGCGTGCCCACGATATTTAAATAGTGGCTAAGAAAGTAAAACTATAAGCGTCGAAGGATAGAAGATCGTAGCTGAAAGGCAGTTTATGTGAAAAGAGAGAGCTGTGTTAAAAAGAGGTGATAACCGGAGTGATATAAGGTATTATTGTTATTAGCCTGTAGGTAAGATATAAATATTAGTCTATTAAAATTTAATTACTTAAAGCCGCTGTTTGAAGAATCCACGTTTTGACTAGAACTCAATCAGAAAGTCTCACAAAATTTATAGAATCTAATTAAAGCTAATTGCATGGTTGAATGGGCCATGCTTACGATTCAAAATAATGACTTGTTTAATTGAAAAAACTGTATAATACTCTTATGCAGTTTTTTATTGCATCCTAAGCATTTATATTCAATTACTTATTTCCGTTTTTCACTTGGTAAAAACTAAAAAAAAAAAAAATTATTTTTATTTTGTCCCCGAAAATGTAAAAAACCCGCGTAAATTTGGTTTTAAAAACAGATTTTTTTATCGTACCTGGAAAAAATTTCATGGCAATCACTAAAATCGTGGTAAAAAGTGTTTCAGGCCATTTTCGAAAAATCCCATATACTAATAATTTCTAGCATTAATAACCATCATTACAAGGAACTCCTTATGTAAAACAGGTGATCTGGTAACAAACAAAATGTTATGGTAGTCGCAGTCAGTAATTTCTGGTAACCCAAGTGAAACTCGGCGACCTAGTCCCGTCTTCTAGCGGCTTGTATATTAGCGTATACGCAGATGATATGCATGTAATCTTAGGTGAAGATCTTTCGAAGGCGTTGTAAAGCAATCGGTCCCTTGTCTAATTGATGTTCGGCAAGTAAAGAATCCCTACTCTAGAGAAGAGGTCGGCAAAATTTCCAAGTTGGGGGTAGCTCTTCTCTTGGTTGGTGATTGGCTGTGGTATCGGAAATGGGCCGACGTTAAATAAATGAAAATGATATATATATATATATATATATATATATATATATATATATATATATATATATATATATATATATATATATATATATATATATACACAACCTATGGCACTGTTACGACAATTAATTTCAAGACGAAATATTTGATTAACGGATAATAAAAGTTAGTATTTTATGAATATCTTTTTATTACCCGAGCTCCATCTCCACCAAATGATGGCATCGTGGCAATGATGAGTTCATCATTGCCACAATGCACTGTTGCATGGATGTTGACTTGGTTCCAGGCACGGGTAGTCCAGATTTCAATACATCACCACATCGCTGCAATTGTCAAGTATACAAAGCGACATTGTTGCTTGGTGGTCGAGTGGTAAGGACATTTGCCTCTCACGCTGGAGTTCCGGGTTCGATCCCTGGTCGAGGTGCTAGGATTTTTTCTAATTGTCTCTAAATGTGTAACCCTCTCTCACACAAGTTACCTTGAAGTACCTTCAGGGGATGGTATTACCTGTGGTGTTTAATTTAAAAAATTTAATTTAAAACATTTACTAGGAAAATCAATTTATTTATTTCTGATTAAAAAGATTATCGCCATGCAAATAATAAATATATTGAGGTAGTACGGATCATCTTAACCGCTGCGTTTCCATTTCGATCCTTGCATTAGGACTTTTGCTTCTAATATTTCAATTTATTTTGTTTTGGGATTAAAATTAATCAGCTCCAATAAAAACCTTGCTTCGTGAATGTAAATTTACAATAAATAAGAACACCAAAAACTTTTTATAACATTATTTTTCATGCCGGTGCCAACGTGGTTCAGTGACATTAGCGGATATGCTGAATTTTAAATTGCTTGTTTTTTTTTCGAAAACTGTTTAAAAATGTTTACATTTTCATACTGTTTTCAATAGGTGAAGTGGGCCATTTTCGTAAATATGACACGAAATTATTTTATATTCTAGACCGTAAAAGCACATCGTGTTCAGGAACGTTTGAATTAATTTATTGAATGAAATGCATCAGTATATTTATAAATTTACCATGTATACCTGCGACTTGTTTTGCGTGGAATTCGGGAAAACATATTTAAGTTTTGATCAGCAAGTACTCCCATTGTCCGACACCCAGCTTTGGCCTACAGGACCTCTTTGTAAATCACCTTGGTGGCTCTTTTTCCAGGGGCTAGGATCACTAGGCTACTGGGTGAGGTCACGCTGGGGAAGGCACGTAAAATTGATCAAGCAAAAAGCAGTTCTGCCTCAAATTAATCTTTGCCAACTTCAGTGACTGTCCTTGCGACTTGTTAATACTCCTATTAAAAAAGACTTTGAAGGGAACTGCAGCCTCTTGAACCCGAAAAGGTAGTCCAATGTTATAAGCGGTATACGTGGTATGAACACCGATTTCCCATACGAACAGCCGGTGAAGACTGTGGTATCGATAACATTTCTGTGGAGGAATTTCACTCGCAGCCTGATGCCATTGCTGTGTTTGGGGGAGTTGAGGTTCCGCAGTAACATCACTGGTGCACCCACTTTGAGGAGAAGTTTATGGGCTGGGAGACCAGAAGGGTGTTGCGGAATGCTACGGGATAGTACACCACGTGACAATTTGCTCGCGCATCTCCCTAGTGTACCATACAATAGAAAGGAGAGGGACCGAAACAGGCTGGCTCCACCTCCTATGATGGGTATGAGACACCATCTACCCATTAACATTAAAAAACAACTGCCACGTTAAAGACAATCATACGAACTGAGATTTAACATTTTATGTTGAAAGAAGTAAAAATTAAATATCTTATCCCTTATTGCATATAGTGTGATTCTAGGTGAAAAACAACTCTCCATCTCCCATAGATTTATCATTTTATAATTTTGATACGATTATGGTATAACATTTATGAGTCCAATTTCGCTAAATTTTTCCGGTGCCTCACATCGATTTAACAATCTTCTGATTTCGAGTAATTTTTACGGTGATCTTGTATTTTTAGAGATTTGTCGATATCTCATCGAGCCTAAGAGATATTAAGGAATCTATCGAAGACATATTTTACCCCTTTTCATCCCCTTAGATTAACTTAGATTAGAAGGGAGGAGCTGGCTGATTGCTCCTATTCATTTCCTTAGAGCTCCTTATCCAGCTTTGTCCTTTGTATCAGACACCACAATATAAGGGATAAGGGGTTCTTAGTGTGACTGTCTGCTCTTGATTTTTTGTTCCCCAAGTACTTGGAATCTAAGTCTAGCGAGGCCATCACAGTGGCACAACACATGAACTGAGGATTCATCTTCCTCTTGGCAGAATCTGCATGTTGCATCCTGTACCAGACCCATCAAACTCATATGTCTATTGAGACGACAGTGTCCTTTTAAAAGACTCCCTTTTTAGTGGGTGCTTATGTTTTGAAAGGAATATATTCCTCAAATTCCATGTTGCCAGATTCAGGAGTTTGGGCTGGGTGTTGATGAATCGGTCAGTGAGTCAGTCAGGAGATTTGTTTTTATGTATATTGATAACTCTAATATTAACAGTTAGTTGTAACAATTATTATAGTTAAATAATTACTTAGTGTCTTACAATATGTAAACTCATAATTCCAATATTACAATGATTTAAATTTATTCCTGATGTAGATGTGTCTTATAACAGTTTCTTGACCTGGACGCTCAAAAATGATGCAATTATTATTGAGTGATATCTATTCCGGATGCGGGAGTAGTTGGATCAGAATGTTAAATCATTGTTGAAGATTCTTCAAAAGAAGAGACAGAATCATTAATTAAGATTTTATTTAAAATTTTTATTTTATTTTGAATAGAATTAATGCTCCCGCTACTGTAGAAGACCGGCACCTTCCATATTGTTTGAGGCTGGTAATGTCAGTCGCAGAATTGGTCAAAACCGTTGCAGAAGAGCATGTATCGTAATTTGACAGATACTATTGATAACCGTGGTTACAGTTGTTTCCGGTAACTGAAATGTGCGGTTGATTTACGGAACGGATTGTAATGTACTATAGAGTTACAATAATTTGAAAATATGAAGATGTACTTGCCTCCATGTTCGCTGCAATCCACGATCAACAAAAATGCCCATGAAAATATACTCTACGTCCAAATAAAAAAAACCTCGAACATGCTCGAATAAAAACACATAATATCTCAGTTGCGTAATTTACCACAAATAACCAAACATTTTAAGCGATTACCCTGGTTGATACCAATCATTACCATGTTCAGGAAACCGCGTAACGTAATTCCTTTACTTTTCAAGCGCGTTGATTTACGGTACGGCGAACCAGAGTCTTGGTTAAAATATTGGAATTACGTCGCCCTTAATGAAAAATCTACGACTGCTAGTACATCGAGGGCGTAAATTAACATACTTTCGATATAATTTAATATGAACGAAATTTGGAATAACGAAAGTTCTTTTGAGTGTGAGTCTTGGAATCAGGGGTTTTTATGATAAGAATCGAATCATCTACCGTCATTGTTAGCAATTCATTTCATCTGCATACCCCGTGAATTCCGATTATTAAAATAACCTGAAAGAAATTATTAACAAATTTAAACTAATATAGATTACCTTTAATACTATGAAACTATGAAACGTTCATCAGGTGCTTCTCGCATAGATTTCTATCTTCCTGTTTATTATTTTGGTGACTAGTTTATGCTACATTATTTCACATTTTACTTAAAATTACATCAATTATGCCTTTACAAATTTGTTCAAAATTTTAACTACAAAATTCTAGATAGAAACTGTTCATTGTTAATAAAATAGTACGCCCGAAAATATCATTTACCTTTTCTATAAAGAAATTTATACTTTCTTCATAAATGAACACCTTTTTTATAAAAAAATATTTCACTAATTTCTCAAGGTAAGCTATTAAATTTAAACGTACTGTGAAAGTTTTTTTTGATATTCATTCCTAACAATTATAATTATACTTTATTATTACGATATTTTTTGTTGTAGTGCCAACAAATACAAAGTTTTTCCCCAAATATAATGATATTATGCTGTACTCTATCTAGTTAACTTTGACTTTATTATAGTTATTTAACTTTTAAAATATTGTAAAATAATTGTGTTAATATTTGAAGAGATAGATATCATCATAGCAATTTAGAGGTATAAACATACATTTTTACTTGTTACATCATTGTGGACATCCTTCGTACAAATGTTGTGAATTACACTGATGACTAATATTATAGTAACGGGTGATTATAAAGTAAGGGATATATTTCAACTTATTATATATTCTTAACAAATCAAATTAATAACAAAAAGTAAATGGAATCTAGTTGCTTACATAATGGGATTTCTGATGTCAAACACTAGTTACTGCAAATGCTCGATATGACTCCCATTTTGTTGTTGTAAAATTACCAACCGTTCCTCCAAATTGTATGCAGCACTATTCAACATTTCTGGTTGAATTTCACGAATTTGCTCTCTAATATTGTCCTTTAATTCCTCCAGCGTTGTTGGCCGTGTTCTAAACACCAAATTTTTTAAATAACCCCACAGTCAGTAATCCGCTGGGTTAATATCAGGCGATCTTGGTGGCCATGAATTTGCAAAATGTCTGTTTATAACACGATCTTGAAAAACCGCAGTTAACAATTCTTTAACTGGTCGGTAAATGTGCGGAGGTGCTCCATCCTGCATAAAAATCATGTTTTCAATTCCTTCGTGCTCGTTTTGCAACTGTGGAATTTCATAATCCCTTAACATTTGCAGGTATCGTTCACCAGTAACAGTTACAGATACGGCCTCACCATTCTGTATTTCCTTGAAAAAGTATGGACCAATGATGAAATTAGCTGTGAAACCGCACCAAACGGTGACTTTTTTTGTCATGAAGCGTTGCTGAACGATTTCATGTGAATTTTCTGTTGACCATATTCGACAGTTTTAAGTATTAATTCCACCATTAAGAGAGAAATGGGCCTCATCTGTCCATAAAATACGGGATAACCATTCGGGTTCAATTTCCATCTGAGCCAATACGTGTAATGAAAAATCATACCTGAGAGCAAAATCTGCGTCCTTTAATTCAAACAGCAGTTGCAGTTTATAGGGATACATTTTTAGGATTTTCCGTAAAATTTTCCAAACCGTGGTGTATGGCATTTGTAATCGTTTTGATATCGCATTCACACTACTGATTGCTAGCGGATTAGTATTGGCTACGTTTTGATTTTTCCGAAGAACTTCTGCAACTTGGACATCACTAATCCTAGGTCTTCCTGACCTCGGAAGGTCGTTTACAGACCCTGTTCTTTCAAATTTGTTAATCAAATTATGATACGTCTTCATTTTGCACGGCCCTGCGCTCAAACCCATTTTCGTACGAAGTCTTCGTAATCCAGTAGTGTAATTTTTACCGCCTTCATAATA